TTTTTTTTTTTTAGAATCTACTGCTTACTGCTTTGGTTCGCAAAACTCTTCACAGATGTTCAAATAAAGTTTAAAATTTAACTTGATAGGATCATCAGACATTTAATAAATGAGACAGCCAGAAACGTCAAAAGTGGACCAGAAGTTATTTACACGATGGAAATAAATGTGTCACAGTCAGCTAGTGGATTCGCCAAGAAAAGATGCTCTTTCCCGTCAAACCGTTGTTCATGATGATAGATTGTTGATGAAAACACAGTCTAGCAGTTTATATACCAAAGATAAGTAAACCAAATTAGCAACGAAGCATGTAAGCATTTCAGCAACAACAGCTCTGCATTATTAGTTATGCACTTATGCTATTCCTTTTTGTAAATAGTTTTTGTTGAAAACTATTGGAAGACCGATGAACAGACATATTAGAAAGAAAAAAAAAACAGTTTTACCTTTTCGTGTAAAACTGAACCGTTGAGATTCAATATGAGAAGCATTAAAAAAACTTTTATTAAAAGTTTAAAGTAATTTATTTATTCTTACGCAAATTTCGCGGTTAAACCACATGTGGAAGAAAAGCTTTACCAGTAAATTTCAAAGTTATATTTGCTGCTTTCAGTATCTTTATAGAGAAATGACTCATTAAACAATTAATAAAAAACGTTACTTTTTTCTAGATACCTTATCTGCCTGATTGCAGTTTACATGGATCAAATTCTCGTGTTTTGCAAAACTGAAAATTGGTATACATTTGATGATTGTGACAATAATTTTTCTACAGTTTAACCGTATATCAAAAATGCAAAAGCGTATCTGTTGATTTGATGCCATAGGAAGGAATTCAGAAGCGAAAAAGCGTTGCTAAGCCAAAAAATAAATTTTAAGCCAAAGTGTGTGGAAAAATTTTGCAGGGGCCAAAAGTGTATGTTGAAAGAAAAGTAGCTGCTTAAACTATTTGTCTCATCAGACAGCGATGATGACGTGTTGCCACAGATTCACTAGTGCTTTAGGCAGAGGACAGTAGAGGTGCAGAAGTGGCAGTGAAGAACTGTGGGAGCCAACTGTGCATCCGAAAATTTTCAGATCACTGTCGCCAACCTCAAACGAACAGTCTAACCTTTCTCTCATCGCCTTGCTCAGCCAGCGCTGTTGTTTGAGTTAATCATTAAAGCATTGGTTAGTCGGCCCCACCAATCGGCACCAAAAGAAGGCGGAGCTTCAATAAAGAAAGTAACTGTTAGAGTCAGTAGGCGACAAGGAATATATCAGTAAAGAAATGATGCCGTATTGGGGCCTTGGCGAGACTTCAGTTGGCACTCAACCATTCTGGTTGAACAGTCAACAAATCCCTGAAGTGTCCAGAAAATTTGGTACATTTTATTATGATTTTTCTCCATTCTCTTTTGATGTTTTTAGCAGTTTAAATGACTAGTTAGTTTAGGGTTAATTTAACTGGTGTAAACCAAATATTTTTGTCGACATTAACCAAAAAACATTCCTTACAACCTACACTGTAGTATACTGCTTATCTGACTTTTATTTTTAATACCTTTTCTGATTTATTACAAAAAAGTTACCACGCATGCGGGAAAGATCATAAAAATTTATATCCTTCCTAACCGTTGAGCTGTTATCAGTAGAAAAATTTTTGTTTTTAACTTCTGAGCAAAAAAGCTAGACTTGTATACCGTAATTTTTCCGCTTTTCCTTCCACAGTAATTTTTGAGAATCAAACTCCTTGTCAGTTTATTCCAAACGGAGAAGAGTTTGTTGATAACTACAGCATCAAGTATCTGCATCTAACTCTTTCATCCTTATTTTTTCTTTTCTTCGTCTTCTTTTTTTTTTTTTTTCAAAAAATTATCTGTATATTTAATGTTTAATTTACCTATAATCTTTTCCGAGATTTTTTCGACTTCAAAACGAAATTTTTTTGTTTAGTAAGTAGAAGAAATGTATTTTTACCAAATTTTGTTTAACAACTGCTGCTAATTTTATGTTAATGCATCACTTTAACCCCAACGATTGCTTTTTTAGCCACTACAACCGCTATAAAATAATTTTTGTTAGATTTTCCAGAATTCTTTAATATCTGTAAAGAAAAAGTGATGACGTAAATCTGAGCAACTTTGATGATTGCAGCATGTGGAGAAGTGAATCAGTTGGGAGGTGTGTTTGTCAATGGTCGGCCTTTACCAATTGCTTTAAGAGTGAAAATAATTGAGCTGGCACATCAAGGAGTACGACCGTGCGACATTTCAAGGCAATTACGTATATCGCACGGATGTGTCAGCAAGATACTGACCAGATATTCAGAGTCTGGGAGCATTATGCCAGGAGCTATTGGTGGTAGTAAGCCGCGGGTAACTACTCCAAAGGTTCTGTGCTACTAGCAACTTTTTTGTGTTACATTTTTGAAATTATCAAAAAATTTGGACAAAGACAAAGATATGTACACTTGTTAACGCTTCGCCACTACCGCATATCATTAAAATTTTGAGAACACTTTTACTGACTGAAAATATTCATTTTAAATAAATTTATTTTAATTACGATTAAAAATGGTTTCTGTAAACAATTAACTTAGAAGAAGCGTGAAGATTTATGATAACTTTCTAGGTGGTTGAATATATACGGCTGCTGAAATCTAAAGAACCTGGAATGTTTGCTTGGGAGATCAGAGACCGGTTAATTAAGGATAATGTTTGCGATAATTACAATGTTCCTTCAGTGAGCTCCATATCAAGGATTCTGAGAAGCAAAATGAGTGCCCCCACAAGCGGTAAACTTTCTAGCTCAAAGGATAAAATACATTTCCAACTGTAAAATAAGTAAACCAATGAGCACATAACTTGTTCGGCATTTGGCAGTTTGAAAGAAGAAATAGTCTTAGTAAAAACAAAAAGTTCTAAGCACATCCTAGCCACAACCTGCTCTAATAAAAGGAAGTTTTAGCCGCAACAAACCCACCAAACGAGATTGCTGGTATGCCCTCAATGCAATCTGCGCCTCTTCGAGGAAACGCCCCTCCCGGGCCCATTTTTCCGTACTTTTCTTATCCCTATAGCGTTCCTCCTGATCAGCAGCAGCCGCAGAAATGGAATACTTCACCACAACTTGGTTGTATGCTTGCTGGACCTGTCGAAACAAGCTTCGGTAAGTAATTATAAACATCTGTCGACCAGTATAATTGAGTACTTTTAATTAATTTAAACCTCTGCTTGCTAAACAAAAGGAAGTATCTTTTTTGAAACAACTATCAGTTTAGTAACTGTAAATTTCAGGCCAGTATTTGAATTCATGTTTTCCATCAAATAGCCCAAACGCCATCTTACATCAGACCCCACTGCACAGTTCAACTCATCCGCAAGTTTGACAACCAGTTTTTCTGAAATCATCACATTTGAAAATCACAATTTCTTTATTTAATTTTTAATAAATCATGTATTTCTTTGGACTGCTCATTTTTACGTTTAAAAACAATGAAAACACTTGATAACACTATTTTCTTCAGTTTTTAACTTTCGATGAAAGCTTTGCATCCGTTAATTTTAAGCAAGCTATAGTAGCAAACTCATTTGTTCTGCGAAGCGGGAAAGGTATCTGTTTTTAGGTATCAGTGTCGCTAGTAAAAGCTTGAAAAATTGAAAAAATTACAGTCTCTCCCGTCTCGTAGGGCAGGAAGTTTAAGTTAAAGT